CTCCATAACGTTGAGTTGAATTTGTTCTCTTGAAAGGTGCAGAAAGTTCTGACTATTACGGTAGTCACTAAGGAAAAATGCCCTTTGAGTTGATTCATCAATTAAACGTTTTTTCAGAATTTTTTAAGTTCAAAGAAGGCTAGCTTTCACATTCATACTCACAAAAAGCTACTGCAGAAAGAAACACTGTAATAACTGTTATTGTCATAAAGCTGTACACTTGCTTCTCCACCCTCCACCTCTAAGCCCTAGCTGTTACAATGTTCAGCGGCACTGTAAAATCATCAGGCGTCATGCACTGTCATTTTCATGACCTTGCCAACATACTGATAATGCTGTTATACAATGAACTGGATTGCCATAACAGAAAATCAACCAGTAGTGAAGATTCTGTTATTCCAGCAAGCTAAGACTCTCTCAGTTGTGGGTAGATAAATCTGCAGAGGGAAATGGTCACAGTGGACACTGTTCCTGGTGTTAAGAGTACTCTATTTCCCACGAGAATAAGGATACTGTAACCAGGCGGAACTTCCAAGAATGCTGATGGTTTTGTTGGATAAGGGGAGTGCACACTTGACATCAGACTGCACTTTTTTAATTTCAAAAAACAACAAGATCTCTTCTAAAAGCTGAATGTTACATCATGCCATAGTTGGTATGATTCCAACTTAACCACATTGGGTCTGCAGGGGAGGAAAATAACTACCAAGTTCCTTTAAAAATATTACCCTAAGCAAATACTATTGTGTCTGTAACTAAGCGGACCCTGTTTCCGAAGCCAAATATCCATTTGTTTGGAAATACCATCATTGACATGCATGAGACGGCATATCATAAATCAGTCATCCATTTACCTTTTGCCCATCAGAAGATAATACAAATTACAGCACTTGTGATCACAAAGGACAATTCTAAGCTATCATTCAGAGTCAGAAGACTGAGGACTTAGTTGAGCTCCGCCAGTTACCGGTTCCATTACCATGGGCAAGTCCCTCACTTTCTCTCATTCTCAGTTTCCTCCCTGTAAACAATGGTGATGCTGTCTTTCATAGGATTGTGGCAAAGTGCAAGAAAGTGCTTTATACCAGAAAATTCCCGTACAAAGGCAGGAGCTTGCCTTCTCAATACCTTAGAGGGGCTTAAAAAAAGATCACAGCACAGTGGACCTGCACATCACAGACTCAAGAGGGACTATTGTGATCATTTGAAGGAGCAAAAAGCCCAAAGACTTTCAAATCCCATAGTACAATAGGAACGTGACACTCAAACAACTCAAGGACTCCAGGAACTGTAAATGAGCAGTCTATACAGAGGGAAAGTGGGACTCAAGGGAGCCAACACTTTGCGAACAGGTTCTTTGGAACACACATAATCTGACAAAAACAAAGAAACAAAACGAGCTGCATCACAAAATTTGTCTCCTTATCCTAAAAGGTCCCAAGAAAATAATCATTTTATTTTGCTTCAAACCTGCTCTGGAGTAGTGAACTCACGTGTGGACTCTGCTGCGATTTCGAGTCCATCTCATGTGTTTCCATGTAATGCCCGCTGGACTATGCCAATTGCTATGAAAATAAACAATTCGCAGCAAGAATAGGAGGTAACTTCCAGTGGTTCTGCTGTAGCAGACTATATGGCTAACTACTCTTGAGTTAGGCTTGGTTTTAGATGCATCAGGCAGGGGAGGAGTAGATTAAAAATTCCCTTCTTACCATAAATGGCTTGATCTTCAAAATATGTAATCTTGTCATAACATTGAAAGAACACTGATAACTTTCTCAATGATATCCATGAATGGTCTACTTACTTAATTTTCCTCCTGATTAATCAAAGGACCCCTCTGCTACTTATGTATTCCTCAGTGCTCTTTCTCATCGCCAGCCCTAACTTTGACATTTAACCACACGGAGGATGATGGAGAGCCAAGTTAAATTTCTAGAAGGGTTCAAGAAATGGGTTTCTCCTAGGGCTCTGTCTCTGGCTGAAGACGCAGAAAGGCTGCAGGTTCATAGTCCACAAGTAAGATGGCCAGTCTTTCGCTTGGCAGCAAGCAGGTCGGGGAGAAGTGTACCCCCGGGCAAAAGTGGGTGCAGGCAGCCCCAGTCAGCAGAGGAAAGCACACCTCTCCTCCCTCCCCTCTCACACCCAGTACCCTGGCCTGTGACCCTTCTCTACAGCTCAGAACAAACAGACTAAAAGGAGGGAAGGATTGCATTGTTTCTATCCATTAATAACAGCAACTTACTTGGACAATCAACCTTCCAGGTTGAGCCACAATGAACAAATCTGCTAATAGTTTTATCACCACTAAGCTGGCTATTTGGGGTGGGGCATGGGTGGCGTGGCTGTGTTCCAAAGGAAAGGAGTGACAGGAAAAAGTGAGGAGAAGGTCAGAAGGGGCAGTGAAAGCAGTGTGTTTCAGGACAACAATAAAGCCCTCGACCGCTGTTCGCACCGATGTGAGGGCCATCACTGAACTACACCAGAGAGAAAAATGTGCTGCCGGTCCGCGAGTCTATGGAGCTTGGGCTCGGACTGTCACAGGGGGAAACCTCGCCCTTCCTGCCATGGGGAGCTGGAAAGGGCCATAACACACATTGTGTGTCTAATTGCACTGCGCTGAAATATTCTCATTTGCACTTCACGAGCTTTTAAATTTAAACATGTGGGATTAGCGTACGTGTTCCACTTTTAGTTTTTAATGTGTGCATGTTCTGGAGTCAGATCTGAGTGCCACTTCTGCCTGAAGCATGTATAGTTGAGCGGCTAAGGGGGTCTCCAAGCTTCAGCTTGTCTATCTATAAAACCGGAATGATAATATACAGCACCGAGACTTATTGTGAGGATTATAGGAAAATAAATACACTTGCTTAGCACATCATTTGGCATACACATTAAATGCACAATAAATATAAGTTATAATTATTAGTGTTAATATTATGATGGTAACAGTAGCAGAAGCCTTGAGCTTTCTTTTCTGGCCCTGCCACTAACTTGCATATGAGCCAGATAAATTTGCTACAATTTCTTCATCTTTGAAATGAAGACATTAAATTGCACCTTTTGTAATTCTTATCCAGATCTAAAAGTCTTTGATTCTAAGGACATACTATCTGCATCAAAAATAATTAATTTTATTATTCTGTTATTAATATTTCGGAAGTCAGGGTATTATTTGGTTTTTCAAAATAATTGGTGGGCATTCAAAAATTCAGCACTTGAATAATTCAAAGGATACTCTGACTGCCCTTTAGACTCCCCTATTTTATCATGGGTGGCTCTATTAATCCAGAGACACGGTTTCACCGGAGAGTTCTTTTCCTCTATCGGCCTGTGGAAAAAGTGAAACCAGCCAGAAGTGAACACCCTAAAGAATGGCCCAGCGGGCAGCCAGCGCCCTGCAGTCAGACAGGGAAGTCACTGGCCACGTGGCCACATGCTGACCCAAGGACCTCTCACAAATGGCATAAAGAGGAACGGAGGAGTTGGAAATATATTTCTCACTGAACACTCTAGGTTTTGTGGATTCTTCTATTTCAAGGAAATGAAGGGGGAAGACATTCCAATGCCAGACTGGCCATTTTTTCAGATGGGGCATCCGAAAGGGCTTCCATCCCAGATCTCTGGCTGATGTGGTACTCAGGACCAGCTGTGTTGAGGAAACTGCGACAGAGCCAGCACATCCTGGGTCATTTTCAATCCACTCTCCACATACATCACAGGTTGGTGGTGGTGGTGGGGGGGGGCTGTGCTCCCTCTCGGCAGGGGGCAGAAATGGCAAGAAAATTATATGACCTGAGCCTACCTGACAATCCACTAGCCACCTGGGGATTGTCACAAGCAAAACAAGTGTTTAAGTAAGAATTCAAAGAAAAACAAGCCCTCTCTGCCCACCCTCCAGCCCCTCTTAACATCCAGGCGATCCAGAAAAGGGAACTTGTTTGGTTATCTCTCTGCAATGCTCTGACTAAGAGGCCAGTCACTTCCAGAGGTTTACATCACTGATTCAGGGTTCTGCCCTCTCCCTTTCCCCTTTTCTTTTCTCCTTAAGCGTTCTGTCTAGTGACTACCACGGAAGGACACAAGGAAGGACATTGTCATGGAAGGACACAAGCCCTGAACGACAGCTCCGTTCCGGTACCGTGTCTGCTTTGCTGCTCTCCCAAGGGCAAGCTCCATTCTTGCCAAATGAACCAGCAATAGAACAGGTCCTCTCAGCTATTTGGGTGCCAGGCCTCCCAGAGTTGATAATCAGCTTAAGGCAACACTTCTATAATCCAGACCATAAACAAAGAAGAAAGACTCTGAGCCTCATAAAAACATGAACTTTCCCTTATCTAAAATAAGACCAGGGGCAAGTCAAAATTTTAGCTTTAAAGTAGTCAAGGTGAATTTGCTTGTTGAAGAAAAGAGCTATAAAATATATCTTTCAATGAATTAGAAAGCGTGCCTGAAATCTAAATGTGATTTCAAACCTAAATATTATTTTATTCATTGTGTCTATTGCAGATTGTTATACACAGTTAAATGAGATAGTCTTGAAAATTGACTGGGAATGGTCAAGTCAAACATACAATAAATTCACAAGTTATTTCTCAAAACACTATTTTTCAAGTTTCAATAGTAAAACTAATTAAAATCAAATCTAGCCCTCGACTCACTTCAATAGGTTCTCTACTTTAAAACCTGAATTTTGGTTTTGAACCTAAACACCACAGACCATAAAAATCCTGGATGCCAGGGAATAAACTCGATGTTTCCTATATAGGAATCAAACAAAATACCTCATTCATCCTTAAAGTTAGAAACAACGTTGCTGAAAATAACAGATTCTAAAAAAAAAATCAGTAAAAATACAAATGGCTATTAATAACAAGTACAAATAAAATACGTCGCTTACTGCCAGAGGGAGACCAAAATCAAGATTAAAAATTGTCGGTAGCTTGCAAATACACACACACACACACATACACGCACATGAAAGTTCTCCAGTTACTTACTGGGGCGGTTTTGTCGCGGTATTCCTCACATCAGCACCCTGCCTGTCCAGCTGCCAAGTCCCGGAGCATGCCGCCAGCAGCTGTTTCCTTCAAGCTGGGGCTGTGTGTCTTAACCAGTCACATGCGCCTCCTGATAAATACTGCTGCCGTGCCAGGAGGTCAGAAACCGAAGATCATTATTCTCTTAATTTGCAAACCTTCTCATAACCCCTGAGCTGGCTCAGCCATTTCGTTAACATGCAGAGCAGTACATTCCACAATTTGTTTTCTATTAGTGACAAACCCGGAACAGCTGATAAGTCACACTGGCAGGCAGGTCACTGTAAGTGGAAAGTTAATGTGTTTGTGTGGAGGGTGGGGGTGCAGTGGGGAGGCTGGCAGTCCCTGCACTCTCTCATCTCACTCAAGTTTTCACTGGGGCTCTTGAACAGCAGGAGGGAGGAATCACAGACTGGCCAAGCAGGTGGAACTGCTCTGTGTTCCAGGTGCCACCGGAGTACTCAATCTGCCACTCCATCTTGGTTTCACTTTCTCAGCATCCCAGGCTCCAGTTTGTTGGAGAAGCCACAGGACTGAATAGACCGTTCTGGAGGCGGACTAACACTCTAAGAATGCTTCAGTTTAATTTCAAAGGTCAGGGCTGCTGTGCAAGTGATGCTCAGGGGCAAATGTGTGAGGGCTTATTGAAGAATATCAAATGCGGCTTTATGTAAAGAGCTAATGGAAATGATTTCGGGTAGCTAACAAGCAAACTTCCGCATAGCTGTCTGTTGGATTGTGTCAACATTTCGGGGCACACCAGAGCACTTGAGATTATCAACGAACGAGAGTAGAAACAGAAATTATCACAAAATTTACAAAGCATTTTACAGATGCACTGCTGCCCCCTTTGGTGTGCTAGGAAGTTGGACCAACCTGTTTCCCGTGCTGCTCACAAAGGTGGCAAACCATCCTGGATGCTTTGGTGAATTCATCTCACCTGAGCTGATTTTCCCACCCTTCCTCTTCCTCCATCTCACCAAGGAAAGCCCTTGGACTATCTGACTTTGGATAGTATTCGACCTTGGGTACCTGACTTTTTGGTATAGTAAGAGTGACACTTCTAAAATCAGTGCCCGGGCAGGGTAGAGTGGAGATATGACAGGGAGTCAGCTCATTTGGTAAAGCGAACATCCAAAAAAGAGTTTAAAATGTTAAAATGCCCCAGGGGATTTCTGAACCATAATGCGCCTGTTAAACTGTCAACCCTGATTTTTAATAAGTGAGATCTTACTCAGTTGAGGAGCCTACGTGGGCAACCTCTCATATCTGGGTTTTGTCTCATAATTATTTACAGTGTTAATCAAACCAGAAGTTTTCCTTCATGCAGAGGATAGACTGTTTTTCCAGAATAACAGAAAAAGACCAAAAAACCCTCAGTCTTGCCATTCCCTCAGGGGATTAAATTATCAACATGTGAGAGCCCAAAGTGCAAATGGGAAATTTTTTTGCAAGCTTCGAAACATATCCCTTTTTAAGGGTTCAAAGTTAGTAATATAAATAAACTACAGATATCAAAAGACAATGAGCTAAAATACACGTCACCTGAGAAACATTTTTCCTCATGTGTTGATGTGACAATCATTAATCAGAAACAGAAAAGGAGGCCTATTGAAGATTTGAAATATTATTTTGATTTATTTATGCTTTGTATTTACAGTTACAGAAGCTTTTGTGACCTTATGGCATCCATCAATCACTTTATTTGCAATTGATTGTATTAATTATTCTGACGATCCATTGCATAACACATAGTTGGCGAGAGACTTCTGGAAACCCTTCACTGACCAATAGAAAAAACAGCCTTGGGAAAGTAAGCATAGAAATTCTTCTCTTGCTGTATTGGCCGAGAGGAAGGGATGAATCTTGAGTCATACCTATGAAGCCAATGACCAATGCAGACCAAGACCCCGGACTCTTCCAACTGGGTCCTGGAGTGTAACTGAAGTTTCTACAATGATACCTTCTTCCAGCCTTGCAAGGAAATGGGGAGATCCCACATCTCTGCCCCAACTACCTACAAATATCCATCATTTCCTTCCACTCAGAAAGATGTGCCCTCCTCCTGTCAGAGGCCATCCACCCCCTGGGCTGTGGGTCTCACCCTGTGACTCCCACCTGTTCAGGACCCTTTCACCAACAGTCGTGCCTTCTCTCCCTGTCTGATCACCCTCCCATTATCTAAACATGCTCACCTTGTTTTGATGTCCTAAAACAATCTTTTTTGATCCTTTGCTCCTTTAATTACTGCCCTAACTCCCTCATTCCCTTCACAACCAAGCTTCTGGAAAAACATTTCCTGTCTCCAACGTCTTGTGTCTCATTTAAGTCTCAGCCTGCATACAGTCTGCTTCTTCCCTCACTTCACTGCAACCGCTTTCCCCAAGTCACCAAAGAGCAGAGCTATTGGACGCCTTTTTTGCTTTTACCTTACTCGACCTCTCAGCTGCGTTTAACTCAACTGACCAACCATTCCTTAAAATGTTCTTCAACAGCTTCTGTAAAATTTTACTCCTACCTCCTCCTTCAGCCTCCTATGTGGACCTTTCTTCTAGCTGCCCCTCAAATGCGAAAACCCCCTCTGTTCTTCCTGTTTCCTAACGTCTCTCATCTGTCTTAATTTATTACCGAATGACTATGATGGTTTCCTAATTAGTTGCCTTGCCTCCAAAAGCCTATCTCCGCCTTCAATTTACCTTTTTTTTTTTTAACACTTGGACTTAAAGCCTCTCAGGGGGCATGTGGTATCTTAGGCATCTCTGTATTCCCAGAACCTATGACAGGGCTTGCATTTCTCTTTTGTACATTCCACTGCTGTCACGTTTCTTGCTCTATATTATAATTAGGTCTTCATGTGTCTATGTTCCATCTAAACTTCGACAACCTTGAGAAAACTTATGACTTGTTCATTTTATATCCTGCAATGCCTAATACAAAGCCTCACATGTAGGTGACACATAGCTGAAACAGTGCTGAATGAATAAACGAACGATTAAAGAGAAGGATCTTCTATCTATTCCATTAAGAAGAGATACAAAAAAAGTTTGCAAAAATTAATTTTATATTAGGCCACCAAAAAACTTTAAATAATTTTGCCCCCGAAAGAAATTATTCTGGCCACATTCTATGACCACACAGTAATAAAACCATAAATTAATTACAAAACTGTAAGTCAAAAAAGAGTTAAGCTTTGGAAACTTTTTATAGCTCTTCTTTAAAAAAAAAAATCATTAATTGGAGAAGAAATCCAAAAAGCCATTACAGAATGCTTAGAAGTTTTTAATAATGAAAATACCACATATCAAATATTGTGGGCAAGCCAAAACAGTTAATTAGAGGCCAACAGACCCAAGAAGAAGTTGAAAAACAAGAGATCAATAATCATGAAAAAATATATAAGTTATCGAGAAATTGTTTCCAAGAAAAGTTTTTTGTCCAAATTACTTACACAATCAAATTCTCTCTGAGCTTCAAGCCACAGATAATTCCCAGGCCATAAAATGTTCAAGTGGACAAAAGTAACAGCAAGCTAACATAATACTCCTGACTTAAACCGATAAAGGGCAACAAAGGAAACCACAGACTAACCTCACATACAAACATAGTTTACCCTAGACAGGTAAAAATATCTCAATGTTAAGAAATATGTTAGCATAATGATATACATAAATCAACAGAGAAAAGCTTTTGGATTAGCACAATTGGTAATCTTGAAAAAGTCTTTCGATAAAATTGAATATCAATATTTTTTAATTAATAAAATGGAGTTTGGAGAATTTTTCTCAGCATGATAAAGATTATCTATCTTAAACCAACCACAGGCTGCATACCTAATGGTGTAATGCTGGAGGTATTAACATTAAAATCAGAAACAAGAAAAGGATGCTCGTTGTCACTATCGTCATTTAGCACTCTTCTGGACATGTGAGCCATTGCAACCAGACAAGAAAAAGAAACTGAAGAAGAATTATGAGAAAGCAGGACACAAAATTTTCCAATTTGAACATGTTACAATCATTTACTTAATAGAATCAACCTAAAAAACATTTTTAAAAATTAGAAACATCAGTGAAGTGAACAGTTACAAATAAATACACAAAATTAATGGAATTTTTCATATAACAACCAAAACTGTTAGAAAACATAGTGGGAAAAAAAATTGCATTCATAATAGTAGCAACAACAACAACAAAATTTCTAGGAAATACAAAAAAGTGAAAAACTTATGTAAAGAAATTTGTGAAACTCTATTGAGAAAACATTTCAACAAATGGAGAGTTGTACAATTTTCCAGCACTGGAAGACCCAACTTTGTAAATATACCAGTTCTCTCCTATTTAATTTATATGATTAAACTTTGGTTAAAATCCCAAAGAGATTTTTTTAAAACAGGCCAAAAAAGAAAGGCCAAAGTTTCTTTAAAAGAATAAAAAACTGAGAATGGAAAAGAAAATTTTAGAAAAACAGCAAGGGGGTACTAGGTATTAAATAGGCTAAAAACATCAAGAATTAAGTTTGATACTGGTACCAAAAGAGGCAGAGCAAAGGAAGAGAACAGAAAGCCTGGAAAGATAAATACATGCACTATGTTAAAATGTTATTTTGTTAAATCTGGTATTCAAACCCAGTGGGAAAAGAATGGGTTACTCAATAATTGGTTGAATAGTTAATTATTAGAAAAAATAAAGACGCAATTATTACCTCACACCATCACTAAGGAAATGGCTAGTGGACTAAAGAGTTAAATGTGAAAAGAAAACCACACACAAACTTGAAGAGAATCATGTCATTGTTTTTATAATCTTAAAACTATTTTAACCATGATTAAATACTTTTATCATGAAAACTATTTTAATTATGATCACAAAAGCAGAAGTAATAAACAAAAAATTGTAAATATTTAAGTGGATAAAATGTAAAATTTATATATGTCAGAAATAACCCGCCATAATCAAAATTAAATCACAAATGACAAAATGTGATTAAAAAATGAAACCCATATGGTAAAGAGTTAATAGTGTTAACATATAAAGAGCATTTATAACTAACAATTGGGAAAAGGGTAATTCAAGCATTTCGTAAGAGAAGAAATATAAATGACCAGTATGCATATGAAGAAAATATTCAGCTTCCTAAAAAAGAGAACAAAGTAAATGATGATACGATAGCATTTATTATCTATAAGCTTCACAAAGATGAAAAATTGATCATTCCCAATGTTGGCAGGAGGTTTATAAAATGGCTCCTTCATACTCTGCTGGCAAGAGCATAAACTGGTACAACATGTGAGGAAGATAATTTTGCAATATGTAGCAAAAGTTTTTTAAAATAAGTATGCTCATTAATTCAGCAGTTCCTGTTCTAGAAACATATTCCAAATAAATAATATGGATTTTCGTATGTGTAAGGATGTTTCTCAAGCATTATTTATGAGCGAAAAATTAGAAACAATCTGTGTCCCAAAAAGTAGTTGAATAAATTATAACACATTCGTAAGATGTAGCACTGTACAATCATAAAATAATCTTACCGACATATATTATTAACATGAAAAAATATTCAGCATAAATTAAGTGAAAAATTCAAGTTACAAAACAGTTTATTCAGTATAATCTCTTTGTTCAAAGAAAATACGTGAATATTTGTAAAAGTCTGAAACGTTACATATCAAATTTTTAACAGTGGTTATCTTTGGGACAAGGGGTCACATACAGTTGTTTTCCCTTCTTTAGGCTTATTAGCTTTTTTCTACTGTTTCCATGATAAATATGTATTATTTGCTCATTTTTAAATGAGATCTTTTATATAAGAAAAGAGATACTAGAGCTATGATCATAAAGTACTTTAATCATCTACACAAGAGGAGAAAGCCATTGACAAGAAATGTGATCAAGAAGAAAGGACCCAGAGCAGAAAGCCTGAGCATTCGTTAACTAAACCGGACGCTTCCTCTCGACTAAGTCTCGGTTCTCTGACTTACTGGTCCTGGACCCAATATTTGATAGCAAGTCACTGGAAGTGCTTGAACTACCAGGCTCAAAGGATGCAAGAAGAGGAGGGAAGCACAGTCCCGCTCGAGCACTTTGGATTCAGTTTCTCAGAGACGTCCTGATGGACCTTTGTGCCTATCTGAGGCATTTCCTTAAGTAGAAATTCCCAAATGGTATCCATCCCATGCATACACGGTCAGATAGCATAAACCTCTCCTACCAGCTGCCCCTC